TCATCCGTCGGCGCACAGAGGAACGGCGTCGACGCGAACGGACTCGACTGGCTGCTGCCCTTCGGGGCGCCCTGACAGACCACACACACACACACACACAGAGAGAGAGAGAGAGAGAACACACAAAAGTGGTGGTCGTGGTGATGGTGTGAGAGGGTGTGTGTGTATGGGTACCTGTGTTGACGCAGGGTGCGGAGGACCGCCCATCATCATGTTGGTGTGGGGGCGATATGCACCAGGGTGATGCCCATGGTGGTGCCCCGGGTGACTCGGCGGCGGGTGGCTGGGCGGTGGCGGGTGCGCCGGTGGGTGGGGGTGGGGCGGGGGCGCCACGGCCGAACGTGACCGAAAGTGCTGCGCGAGGCCGTGCAGCATCTCATACTCGAGCGTGTCCTGCGGGCCGTCCCCCGAGCCGTCGACGCCCACAGCCGCGGCCGATGACGACTGTCCTCCCCCACAGATGAGCGACAGGAGATAGTGAGGGTCCCTTTGGCGCTCTCGCTCCTCCTCGGCGTCCTTCTGCCGCTGGGCTGTCAGCTCGTGCTCACGCGCACTTTCGAAGTGCAGGTCGCGATTCACCTCAGCCGTGCGCGCCTTCTCGGCCTCGATCAGCCGGTCCAGCTCTTCTTGCTCGGCCTGCATGCGCGCCTCCTCCTGCCTGACCGCCTCAATCTCCTTATCGATACCGTCGACCGCCACGGCGATGTCGCCCCCGGCCCGCTCCTCCCTCTCGATGTCGGCACGCAGCCGCGCCAGCTCGGCCGCGTCGTCCAGCTCGCGCACCTCCCTCGCCAGCTCAGTACTGAGGGCCTCTTGCCGCCATCTTGTCAGATCGTCATGGTCGTGCAGATTCCGGTTCTCGTGCGCGTGGGTGAGCAGCGCCAGCTCAACCTCCATTGCCGCGACCTCGGCCGTCACAACAGCCAGCCGCGCGCTGTTGCTCTCGTACTCGGCGGCGGGAGGGATGGCTGGCTCGGGCGACGGAAAGCCTTCACAGCCCTCCCTCTCTGCTGTGGCTGCTGCCGCCGCCTCGTCCTCGACGTCGTCGAGCTGCTGCATCTCCTCGGGGTCCACCTGCGCCTCGATCTCCTCCTGCAGGCCAGCATAATCCTCCTCCTCCTCCTCCTCCTCGTCGCCTTGGTATGCCTCCTCTTCCTCGTCAAAGCGGCCCGCACCCTCGCCGATGTCAAGCGGCTGACGAATGACACACAACACAACACAACACATTACACACACACACACACCCGTGACATCTGTATGTCCTGTTGATCTCTCCAGTGTCCTCACCTGAGCGATAGCATCGTCACGGTACTCTACTTGTTCCTCATCCTCGCCTTGGTATCCCACCTCCTCCTCTGCCGCCTCGCCCGCTGGTCCCTCGAGCTCCTCCTCATGCTGAAGCAGCTGCTGTGCCTGCGCCTCGATCTCCTCCTGCAGGTCAGCATAATCCTCCTCCTGGTCGAGTCGAGCGCCATACTGCATGCCGCCCGCGGCAGCTGCTGCAGCTCCGGCCTCCTCCTGCTCCCCTTTGACCTGAGTGTATTGTTCTTCCTCCTGTGGTGGCTGAATCAGGCGGGGCGGGCCCTCCTGGACGTCAGACACGCCACCCACATCCTACATCCACACACACAGAGACCACAGATGAGCTGCGGCTGGAGCGAGAGCGTGTTTCTCGTTTTGGCTCTCTGGCAAGTCAGGTACATACCTGGATGAGACGCAGTTGGTCGGGCTGTTGGGCTCCGTTGAGTGCCCGCTCCATATCGTGGATCTCGCCGTTGCCGCGAGCCTCCTCTGACAGCTGCTGGGGCGCCTCCTGCGACGGGGGGTGGTCGGGCACGAGGAGCACGGGCGGCAGCAGGTCCTTGTCCTCCTCATGAGCAACGTCAGGCTGCACGCATCATGGCATGTATGTCATGAGAAATGTACGTGTGTATGGTAACACTGCACGTGTGTCTTCTGTCTGACCTGGACGAGAGTTGGTGCTTGTTCGAACGTCTGCGGCTGTTCCGGCGCGACCGATGCACCATTCCGCTGCTGCGAGAGGTCGCGGCTGACGGGCAGGCCGGGCGGCACGACGGGCGGCAACAAGTCTTCCGAATCAGGCATTAGGTCACGACTCACAAGATGCGGCGGGGGGTACTGCACACCACCCGCACCCCCTTCCACACTCGCCCTCTGGCTACTGGCAGGCCCCTCCCCCTCCCCCGCCTCCATGTCTGACAGCTGCTGCAGGCTGGGCGGCGGTGTGTGGCCAGCCACCTGCTGTCCCTCCTCCCCGCCGATGCGCACATCCACCCCTCCCTCGGTGTCCAAATCAACGTGCACGGGCGCCGCCAGGTGTCGGGGCGCGTCGATGTCGATGTGTCGGTCCTCGCCCGCCTCGCGGCACGTCAGATGCAGGTTGGCCGATGCGTCGTCACGGTACTCTACTTGTTCCTCATCCTCGCCTTGGTATCCCTCCTCCTCCTCCTCTGCCGCCTCGCCCGCTGGTCCCTCGAGCTCCTCCTCATGCTGAAGCAGCTGCTGTGCCTGCGCCTCGATCTCCTCCTGCAGGCCAGCATAATCCTCCTCCTGGTCGAGTCGAGCGCCATGGCAACACATACAAACGTCCAATGCAATGACACACGTGTGAAGCCCTGTGGGCGCGACTGACGGGTGCTGCTGGATGTTCGGCAGGCGGAAGGCCGTACTGCACGCCGCCAGCGGCAGCTGCTGCATCGACCACCTGAGCGTATTGCTCTTCCTCCTGTGGTGGCTGAATCAGACGGGGCGGGCCCTCCTGGATGTCAGACACGCCACCCACATCCTACATCCACACACACACAGAGACCACAGATGAGCTGCTGCTGGAGCGAGAGCGTGTTTCTCGTTTTGGCTCTCTGGCAAGTCAGGTACCTACCTGGATGAGACGCAGTTGGTCGGGCTGTTGGGCTCCGTTGAGTGCCCGCTCCATATCGTGGATCTCGCCGTTGCCGCGAGCCTCCTCTGACAGCTGCTGGGGCGCCTCCTGCTGCGGGGGGTGGTCGGGCAAAACCACGGGCGGCGGCAGGTCCTCCTCCTCCTCCTCATGAGCAACGTCAGGCTGCAGGCATCATGACATGTATGTCATGAGAAATGTAAGTGTGTATGGTTACACTGCACGTGTATCGTCTGTCTGACCTGGACGAGAGTTGGTGCTTGTTCGAACGTCTGCGGCTGTTCCGGCGCGATCGATGCACCATTCCGCTGCTGCGAGAGGTCGCGGCTGACGGGCAGGCCGGGCGGCACGACGGGCGGCAACAAGTCTTCCGAATCAGGCATTAGGTCACGACTCACAGGATGCGGCGGGCGGTACTGCACACCACCCCCACTCCCTTCCACACTCCCCCTCTGGCTACTGGCAGGCCCCTCCCCCTCCCCCGCCTCCATGTCTGACAGCTGCTGCAGGCTGGGCGGCGGTGTGTGGCCAGCCACCTGCTGTCCCTCCGGCTGCTGAGCGGTCGGATGGTACACGTGCTCCTCCCCGCCAATGGGTCCGTGCGGTGACATAGCCTCCCCGCCCTCTGCCTCCATTTCCTCCCACCAGCTCAGGCGTCGCGGCTCGGTGTCCAAATCAACGTGCACGGGCGCGTCGATGTCGATGTGTCGGTCCTCGCCCGCCTCGCGGCACGTCAGATGCTGGTTGGGCGACTCGGGGTGCAGGGCGCCCGACGGCAGGGATGGCGACGCGACAGAGGGAAGCGAGAGGTCCTCCTCCAGCTCGGCGTCCTCGGCGGCCTCCCCATACGGATCGCACACCGTCTCGCTCTCTTGGCCGGGGCTGCGGACAACGCCCACCACGACGGTGATGTCGTCCCTTTTGCCGCCCCGGCCGTCGCGAAAATCTGGGTCCTTGGGGTTGTGGATCCGTGCCTCGCGGGCGAAGGGGGTTGGTGCCGTGCGGTCGACGCTGGTGTTGTAGGCCAGCTCCCCAATCTCCCTGGCCAGCTTGGCCGCCGTCATGCGCCACATGTCGTCCGCCCGCCTAACGACAACATCGATGAGAATATTGTCGAAGACGCCGTCCGTGGCCGCGATGATGACGTCGCCCTCCTGGACAGCCACCTCCAGGGTCTGGACGCCGGCGCTCCAGTAGCCGCTGCGGGGTCCGGTGGGCGTCCAGAAGGGCGGCTTGTTGGCGGGGAGCGACCTGAGTCTGTCGGGCAGGGGATCCACGATGCACCGGCGCCCGTCACTGGTCGTCACCCGCCACTCTCTCGCTTTTGGGCCGCACAGCTTGGCCAGCTGGAATGGGCACTTCCAGTGGCCGGGCAGCTGCATGGGGAGGAGCTGGCCCTCGATCGTCCCCTCGTCGAGGTCGTCCAGGCAGGTCACCGCAGCCACGGAGTCGCCAAAGGTGGCCAGGTGGGCGAAGACTCCGCCGTCCTGTTCCACCAGTTTGACGATGGTGGCCGTGGTGGAGCCCTTCGGGCCGTCCGCCACGGTGTCTTCCCACCCCGCCAGCATCACCTCGCTCGCCCTGTTGTGGCAGCCGCGGCTCTCGCCCGCTGAGTGCTCCTCGCATCGGGACATCATGTAGCGGGCGATCGCCTGGCTGCTGTAGCCGAAGTCCTTCTTGATGCCGCCCACGCCATGACCGCGCCGGTCGCGGCGCTCATGAACCACGCGTCCTCACACTCGTCCTCCCTCCCTTTGCCCCTGGAGAAGGCTGCCATCTCCAGCACCTTGGAGCAAGAGGGAGGGGGAGAGGGTCGCGTCGGGGCTGTGGCAGTGGGGCTGGCGGTTGGGGGCGTGTTGAGAGAGGTGGACGGCGACTCCCCCGCCGATGAGGGCCGCTTGTGCTGGTCGGGGTGCTGCAGGGGGGGCAGCTGGCCGGCAGGCGTGACGACTGGCGAGAGTGGCGCTGCCGATGCGGCCGAGACGGGCGTGGCGTCCTCCTCTGCAGGGGGCTGTTCCCCACCCCTCTCATGCGCCTCTTCCCTCTGGTGAGCCACCATCTGCATGAAGGTGTCGATCTGCCGGTCGACCACCGCCCGGTCAGCCGCCGCTATGGGGGATGAGTCGACAGACGGCGCGCCATCAGGAGCACTCTCCGCCACGTCCGCACGGATGGCGGCACTGGCGTGTGTGAGGGGCAGCACGATCGACTCAGGGGGGGTGGATGGAGGCAGGGGCGGGAGTGTGTCGTGCGAGCGGGAGACGGGGGAGATGCCCTTGACCGTCTGGGGCGAGGCCGCTGGCACAGCTTGCGTTGTGTCGACCACCCTCAGCTTGCTCACATCTGGCCTTCCCGCCGGCACGTCTTCTCTGTCTGTCGGTGCGGCGGCCTCCTCCGGTTGCTGCTGCCGCTGTTTGTCTCGCCCCTCCTTGAGTCCCTCGGTGCTCGTCGATCGCGCAGCCCATTTCTCGTCCTTCTCCTCATCTGCCCTCTCCGGTGGCGGCACGGCAGCCATCGGGGCCTCTCGACGGACAGGCGGCGAGAGTGGAGAGGACGTGAAGGCCCCCAGCCCCTCCCTAGCCACGATGGTGTCCTCAGCGGCCTCATCGCCCAAGTGCTCCTCCCCATCTTGCGTCGCCGGTGCTTCAGGGCTCCCGAGAGTGCCTCTGTCTCTGTCACGGTCTCTGTACTGCTGGGCGGGCGACGGCGTGGGTGAGAGTGGAGGCGGGGGCGACGGCTCCTCCTCGCCCTCGCTCTTGTCTTCTTGCTGTGTGCTGCTGGGCGGGGTGGGCTGCGAACGGGATGGGGCCTGGTCGGGCACCATGTCCGGCTGAAGGTCCGCGTGGTACACTGCACGACACAAACACACGAAGGAACGAACGTGCGAACGACATTCACACACACATCCCGATTGTGTGTGTGGGGTGCTGGTGTGTTTGTGTGTGCGTACCAGCTCCCCCAGCGCCGCCCTCTTCGTCGGTGTACTCGTCCCTGTCGTCGCTCTTGGGCAGCGGCACGCTGCCGGCGCTCACAGACTTCTCCGTCGCAAGAGCAGGATACGACGGCGGGGGCGGTGTAGACACCTGCACCCACAACACACACACACCGATGTTGCCTCGGTCACACACGCCACACGCACACAGAGAGAGACATACGCACCTTCCTGTCGGCCTGTGTCTCGGGGTCGCTCTCGTCGATGCGGCCACCAGGAACGGCACCAGCACTGGCCAAGAGCGGCCCGCCTCCCATCCCGAAGCCGCTGCCCGCGAGCGCGTCTCTGATGGGGGGGCTGCTGATGCTGAGGCGGTGTGCGTGTGGGTTGGTGGGCGGGGCGGGGACGGGGAATGGGGCCTTTGAGGGCGACATGATGCCGCCAGACTTCATGGTGATGGAGTCGCGCTTGCCCATGTTGATCTGCGGGGAGGTGGGCATCGACTCGCTCTCGGGCAGCGACACACGGGGGTTGGCGGCTTTGTCTGAGAGACAAGGGAAGAGGGGGAACCCCGTTTCTTTGTGTGTCAAGCAAGGGTGTGTGTGCGTGAGATGCCGCCCATTTGCTCACTCACCGGGCGGCTGAATGACGGTGGAGTGTGACTGCACCCCGTCTGCGCGCGGCCTGAGGTGGGTGGGGGGGATCATGTTGGCCGCCGTGCTGGGCGTCCCGTTGCCCTGCGATACCGTCGGGCTCTCAGGCGTCCCGCCACCTGCACCCACACACACAGAGAGATGTGAAACAAACCAGCTCGTCCATGCGGTGAATGAATCGTGCTGGCGCACCTGAGGAGGCGCCTGGCTGCGTGGACGTCATAGTGGTCTGCAAGGGGGCCTTCGGTGAGAGAGTCGACTCGCCCCTCTCGCGAAGGGCGCTGCCTGTGGGGGGCGGCTCGCTGCGCCACCGACTCAAATCCTGCGAGCAGCAACACGCACACACACACACACACACACACACGACAGAGGGGTGAGGAGCCATTATCACATTGAATTCATCGTCATTCATTCACAGTGAATGATCCATTATCACACTACACGGTGTGAGTGACGCGCGTGGGAAGTAGGGGGAGAGGGTGTCGGTGTGCTTACGAGTCTCATTTGGAGTATTTCGAGCCCGGCGGCCTGTTTGATCTTGTCCATGTCGCTGCCTGGCCGGGTGTCGCGGTCCAACTCGGCCTCGTCAGTCGACGATGAGGCGCCACGCAATGACTAATGAATTATTCACACCCATGACACACAGAGAGAGATTTGTGTGCGTGTTGGTGTTGGTGTTGGTGTTGGTGTGCTGTGTGTGCGAAGCGAAGCGGTCGGCGTACGGGTAGTTGTGTGAGCATGGACTTGACTGCGTCCTTCTTGTGTGCGATGGCGTGGCGCGTTCTTGTGTGCGATGGCGTGGCGCGTCTCCTCGATCTGCTCCTCCAGCGTCTTTGGGCCCTCCACACCGTCGCTGTCGTTGGCGCCTCCCGTGGACAGCTCGTCACCGTCTATCATATCAACTAGGTGGCCTGCATGCATCAACAGAATCACCCACACCACCCAAAGCAGCAATGAGAACGAATCCAAAGGCCAATAACTTCATGATCACATGAATGACAGTGCATAATGAGTGAGCCATTATCACATTGATCAATTGAATGATCCATAGTCACGCAACACCATGTCAGTGACATGATCACATGCAATGGATGAATCAATGGATGGCATCATCGTGCTGGCGCACCTGATGAGGAGATTCATAGTGGTCTGCGGTGGGAGAGCGGCTCGCTGCACCAACACACACCAACACACACACACACACACAAACGACAGGTGGGTGAATGTGTTAGTGGAGTGCATTCGACCAACAACCGCACACAAACATCAACCACACACACGCACACACGTGTTCCGGACTGACCTTGATCTCCTCCTCGCCCTCTATCATCATGACTACTTGACCTGCATGCATCAACAGATTCACCCACACCAGCCAAAGCGCCAATGAGAACTGATCCAGAGGCGAAGGACTTCATGATCACATCAATGACACTGCATAATGAGCGAGCCATTATCACATTGAATTCATCGTCATTCATTCACAGTGAATGATCCATGGTCACACCACACGACGTGAGTGACATGCATAGTCCACAATCAATCACTTGAATGACTTCATTCAGTCATCATCGTGAAAAACTACGTGAGTGACATGTGTCATTGCAAAATGGTCAAGTGAGTCGTTTGTTGACTGACTGACGACCGTTGAGTGTCATTGCGATGTGTCTCTGTGTGTGTGTGTGTGTGTGTGTGCTCACGGTGTGGGTACGGCTGAATGATGTGCATTCACATCTGTATACCGGTACGAATACACATGTGGGTGGATGCATCGACCGGGTGGTGCATTCCGATGCATTCCTCTCACTTTTCTGTCTATCTGACTGAGAATGCATCATGTACACACTCCCTCTCTACGTGGGTGCGTACCTCACGTCGATTCGTCACCTCAGCGGCGACAGACCGACGTCCGGAGACCTCAGCGGCGAGGAGAGGACCTCACTCTGGCGATAAGGTCGGCTGCTCTTACGGCCTGGCCTCTCGTGGCAGAACAGCTTGAAAAACGCCGCGCAAATGACGAAACTGAGCGATCCCTGCCTGCAAGCTCGCAAAAACGACATCGCAACAAACAACGCAGCAGGAGCGCTAATCATCTCATCTTTGCTTCCCTCCGCCGACATCCATCGCTTTTTGGCAGCCAGAAGGCCATTCTATGCGTCAACTGGCATTGCAGAAGTGCACTGGAGGCATCTCGGCCGAATCCTCATCATCGCTTGTTTCACTCTGCCGGTGGTGCATCGGCCGCCGACGACACTCACGACGGCCGCTGGAGTGCCCTCGGCCTTTCACATGACGAGAACCGACGAAAACACGCGAGAGAACTCGACGTCTGAAACACTCACTCACAATCGGTCAGTCAACATCTCATCTGCATCATCTGAGTGCTTCACTGCTTCCCTGTGCGTCTATTCGCTTCGTCAGATGCTTCACACCGACTGACCGGGGCGACCAAACGCTCTGCGACTGATGCCGCAACATGAGCTTGAGTCATTCGTTCGTGTGATGCTGACACATGCTGTTCATCAGCCCAACGAAGGGCCGTCCTCATCAACAAAGAGAGGAGGTGTGCAGTACAACGCGGAGAGTGTGGTGGTCGCGCCAACACAGCCGCACAAGCCGTCGCACGAAGATCCGCAACACTTTAGCTTGCAGGTGAAGAGATGATCGTCGAGGGCTGTTTCCCAGCTTCCTTGTGTGTGTTTAGGTGTGCTGTGGCGAGGCGAGGGCGTGTCCGTCGTGATCTGCGCCGTCCTACACCCTTCATTCATGTGAGCAAAAGCGTGCGCAGCGCCACTCGCCGATATCGTGCACCCCCGCATTGTTTTCTCATTGTTCTGGTGTGTGTGTGCACGTGTGCGGCCCGTGGTGCATCCACGTGCATGGGGGTCGCCACTTTGATGTCACTCAAGGACGCCATCGGCACTTATCGGCACCGCTTTCGGGTTTGATGCGGCTGTCGCATCGCTCTCTCGTTCCTTGAGGCTGCCGACAAGTCGCTGGGGCTGCGGGAGAGAAGCCCCGGATGCCCTTGATGCATGCGACAATCTTGTTGTGCGGACTGACGGTGGCTCGTCTTATGTGGGGGGACGGCCTTCGATACGAGGCGATGCTCACTGGCGGCGCGTCGGCTGATTGCTGGGTGGAGAACTCGCTTTCTCAAGTGGCGCTGCGTGTTGGCTGTAATTGGCTGTGGTGTGAAGGATCTCAAGGCCGCGATGTGTGCCGGAGAAGGCGGCCGATCAGCCTTGCCGCAGCCTCAGCCGCTTGTTGGTCGGCCTGTCTTCCTGTCGATTTTCGGTCAACAAACCAGTTGGTGTCGATATATGGGAAGGCCGGTGGATTTTCTGATCCGTCACGTTCACATCAGTGCAGCGCCGCTGCGGCAATCTGTCGGAAGTCGAGGCATCGGCTGTTTCATGCGGCCCTCTAATCGTGCCAACAGTGCGGAGGGGGGATGGGGAGGGAGGTGGCTGGCGAGTCGGCGGGGCGACAGCCTTTATTTGCCCGAACATTGGCCGGCATGTCTGGTGTCTGGTTTGCACACTGATTGGCGCGATTTGCTGATTGGCGTTGGTTTCGCTATATACACGTGGAGGGAGGATTCGCTGTCTAATGTGCCTTTTTATGGCTGGTCTCAGGGTCTGTTCCTCCTCTCATTTGCTTGTGGCTGAGTGGAGGACTTGCTATTCGAAATGGCCATCTACATGTATGTGGCGAAGAGGTGGCAGGCGAGATGGACTAGTTCTGCTCTTTGAGTGAGGATGGCTGTACACATATGGGAAGGAAGATTGGGCGGCCTCCGCGTGTGTTCTTAGCAGAGAGACTATGAACTATAAAAAGGATCTCATCCATTTATTTCTGTGGCCGTATATTGGGCTGTTGCGTGGGATATCGGGCTTCTTGTTCATGGAAGACCGCCTGTTATGATTATGCAGTATCCTGAGGCAATGGACTGATGCCCTGCGCTAATGTCTGTTACTTCACCTGCCGAAATGTCTGACTGGCGTGTCGCCCTTCTGCTTGCACATCCAGTCAGACACACCGGACATACAACACACATCCTCCAGACGAAATGGACACAGCCGCGTTTTCCATTGCTTGACGAGCGCATTCGTAATCTACAATCAACTCGAAGAATGGCACGCACACACAAGATCGGTGATACTTCCGGCCAAGCGGCGAGATACTGTACAACTTTCTCGACAGAGAGGCGCGGGCCACACAAAAAAGAAAAAAGAAAAAGATCAGATTGGCCGCCTCGCTCAGCCCATTTCGCCATTGTGAGGCCTTCGGGCCGTCAAACTGAGAGCGCTCGGGGTTCGTTTTCATCATTTAAGCGTCGGTAAGAAGACGCCAAGTGAGAGCGGCTCATGGGAGGTGCACAAGACCGACGACAGGTATGCACAGAAGTACAAAGGGAGCGTGCACCTTGAGCAATTCGCACGTATTCACTGTTGAGCAGCCACATCGCCACCGCGTGGGAGCGGCGGATAGAGCTCGTTTCGGCCTCATTCTGGCGCGGACTTCCTCCAACTGGGGAGCTCTTGGAGGAGCCTCGTCAATGAGCCGCGCTGTTTTGCTACAGGAGGTGAAGGCGCGAGGTGACAGAAAGCGCTTTCTGAGGAGGTGAAGGCGGCGAGGTGACAGACCGACGACAGATGAAGGAGCTCTTCACCAGTGTGAGAACCGGTCGCCGCTGTAAGGTCTCCATCGTTGAGAAGGCAATTCCCTCTTGTGTCCTCCCCCGCCAAGGAGCTTTTTCGTTGAGAGGCCTTGTCGAAGACGTGAAGCCGGCAAGACGACGCACACCACGCTGAGAGCAGGCCAGCTGTCCACTGACGACAAGGCCGCCATCCACGTGAGGGCAAAAGGGCGACATGCATCGGCCTGCGCATCTCTTGCGTCTCTTGTTGATCAGTTCTCAACAATCTCGGCAAAGGCAGCACGTTTTTGCCAGTTTTGCAACCGTGAGGCTGACTGAGGAGCTGTCGAGGAGCTGACGGCGGCGACAGACGGACGACAGGTGCGCGCACACGTACTCGAGGAGTGTGATTGACGATCAATGAGGTCCTTTGCCTCTGAATCAGTTCTCATTGCTGCTTTGGCTGGTGTGGGTGAATCTGTTGATGCATGCAGGTCACGTAGTTAGCATGACAAAGTTGGATAAGGACGAGGTCAGTGCGGCACACGTGTGTGCGGGTGTCTGTGTTCGTGTGCTGGTGTGCGTGTGTGTTTGTTGGTCGAATGTGGCATGTCGAACACACAATTCGGCAGAAGGAGCACATGTGCATGAATCTCTCTCTCTCTCTCTCTCTCTCCGGGCGTGTGGATGGCTTGCAGAGCCAGGAGAGCCTGAACATTCGCCGCCACCTGATGGCCGGGACGCTGGACGCCAACACGCCCACCACGTCCAAGGACTCGGTGAGTGAGCGAGCAATTCAGGGTGGGTGGG